GAACTTTGCGAGCGGGATCGTGTATGAGCACTGCTGAAGAGTCCCATACTAGGACGAGACGGTCATCTAGTGTTTCCACATTTTCAATGGTTGTCCAACACCAAACGATTCATGATCTCAATCAAAAATTTAGTAATCTCCACAACCCCATACTGATATACAATTATCATTATCTGTTGTAAATTTTTGTAATTCTAACAACCATGTTGACTTGTCAATAATAGATTTCTTTCAAAATGTAATATAAGTGGTTCGCTTATAACAGGTTAATTTGAATTAAATTACGAATCCCATTGTTTTTATGAAATAACCTGTAGAGACAGTTTACTACTCATTACAGTTAATATATAATCTCTAAACTATTTCATTAACCGATTAATGCATTATTTGGATTTTTCTAATAATGAAGACATTTTAAACAGACAATGTTCAATTAAATGTAACAGATAAACCAGCTAATTGAAGGTTTAATATTATGGATATAAACTAAAAGCATAAAACGAACAATACACGTAGTGATCAAACAAATCCATTATATATAAGTAAAATGGAGTGTAAACAAATCATTGATTAGACATGTATAACATGCAGGTTTTTTTTTATTGACTATAAGAACTACACAACTAACACTGTTATCCATTATGCGAACTAAAATTAACCCATAACAAACAAGTACAGTAAGATAGTTACCCTTTATAGCCTTCATCACATTGAAGCTTACTTGGCACAACTGCAGAAAGCTTCTCTAGTTCACGATTTCACATATCTCGCTATTCTTTTCAAATTATTAGATCATATGAGACTCATTAAAAAGTACAATGATTAAAAAGTTTGGGTTGAATCAAATTATTGAGATATGTAAATCAGGTTCAATGATTCAACCTCCGGTTACATTAATTGGCAGAGTCGTTTTTTCTTCTATTTTTTGTAACTGTCTTCCCTTGTAAATGTTTTGAATTCTGATATTTTATGTCTTACTATGGAAAGTGAATTTCCGTAGTCTTGACGAAACTTGGTCTATTGACTTGTCATTATTTTTTTTATCTTGTTGTCAAATGAAATATTCCGACCGACCATAAAATAGATAAATTTCATATGATAGCTTATTAGTAATCATTGTGATAAACGTTATCTTTGCTTAATATGAACCACTCCAATTATGTTCATCATAGTACTTAAAAATACTTATTTCAGAAGGGTTTTTGTACATGTAATAGTAATTCTAATGGTTGAGATCATTAGTCGATTGGAGCTAGTAGATGCAAACTGCTGAGAAGTCTTACAATAGGACGAAACGGCAGTCCAGTGCTTCCAGGTTTTCCATGGTGGTCTAGTTTCGATTGACTCATGATCTCAGCCATTAAAATATTTATTTCTACCATATACTTGTATAACTTTTTTATCACACACTGGTTTCAGACAAACAAATATAGGAAACACTAAATATATGTTTTGTCCCAGTTTAGAACTCCTCACTAAGAGTCAGACATAATCGCTCTTGATAATCAAAATCAAGGTCTTCTGATCCCGTAACAGCCATGATACCTTATAACTATTAAATTTAAACACGGTGATTCTGTTTTTTATCTTTAATCACTTTTAACTGCAAATGTGCCAAAATAAATTTCTAGTTCTACCGGAGTGTCGATTATGACATATTTGTTAGAAGTCAATAATAAAGCTTATCTTTAGACTGACTGATTCTCCGCAAACCATTTTTTTATTCGAAGGATGTTTCATAATAAATATTTTATCATTGGCCAAGAAATAAGTTTCGTAAAACTTTATTGATGATTTCATTTTTATTCAAAGATATGTAGATATTGTTTCTAAGCAAATTTAACGTTCTGTAAAGTAATTTACTAAAAAAATAACATCCTTTTTGTGTAAGTAAATAGAGAAACTTAAAATATCAGAAGGGGTTTTGTGGAGATTTTAGAAATTTCACTGATTGAAATCATGAGTCAATCGAAGCTAGACCACCATGGAAAACCTGGAAGCACTGGATGGTCGTTTCGCCCCAGTATAGGACTCAGCAGTGGACATCCACGATCCCTCACCCCACGAGATTCGAACCAAGGACCTGTTAGTAAACTCAACAGCTGATTACTCGTTACAATGTGTCTGTGTATATGTATATGAGTGACTAACTTCAGTTCTAAAACTTCAATTAGTTCCAATGATTCCTTTTCTATTCATGGCGCATTATTTGTTAATTCATTTGTAATGTAAACGTATCTTTGGAATGTTTTAATTGTTTGTATAAAATTATTGAATGCTTTTTTTAAAAATTATTTCATTTTTTGTATTTCCTTTCTTGTCTTTTTTTTAAAAAAATTTGCCTCAACAAACTGTCTTATGCAACTAAGGATCATTTTCAAAGTTAAGTGATGTATTACTTACTTACGCCTGTTACTCCCAGTGGAGCATAGGCCATCGACCAGCATTCTCCAATCCACTCTGTCCTGGGTGTTCCTTTCTAGCTCTATCCAATTGTTGTTCATTCTTCTCATGTCTGTCTCAATTTCTCGGCGTAATGTGCTCTTTGGTCTTCCACTCGCCCCTTGGCCTTGAGGATTCCATCTGAGGGCTTGTCTTGTGATGCAGTTGGGTGCTTTCCTCAATGTGTGTCCTATCCACTTTCAGCGCTTCTTCCTGATTTCTTCCCCCACTGGGATCTGGTTTGTTCTCTCCCACAGTAGATTGTTGCTAATAGTGTCCGGCCAATGGATCTGAAGTATTTTGCGTAGACAATTGTTAATAAACACCTGTATCTTCTGGATGATGATTTTGGTATTTCTCTAGGTTTCTGCCCCATACAGTAGAAGTGTCTTGACATTTGTATTGAAAATTATGAACTTTTTGTTGGTTGACAGACAGTTATTTTGAGTTTCAGATGTTTTTCAGTTGTAGATATGCTGTTCTTGCTTTGCCGATCCGCGTCTTCACATCTGCATCAGATCCGTCGTGTCCATCAATGATGCTGCTAAATGATGTATTAACTACCTTTTTCGATCCAATATTGATTTTTTTAAAATATGGGATTCCTTTTAACCAGTAAACATATCTGATGAAACCTTAAGTACTAATAAACATTACTGAGCTATCTAATATCGTTCACTTTTTATTACAACTACATCTTTAAATTCTTTGGAATTACAGTGACTACATTTGGTTCATAAGCCAATTAAATTGTACTTTACTAAGCTATTCGTTTCAATTCGTTAACTTTATGAGGAACAAAATGATTAATTTCAATATAATTGTCTTGAATAAATGTGAAAATAAAAGATATTTGTATTAAGATGACATATATATTAGTGAACAATATTGTTTTCATTTGAATTCTCATTAACCTTTACGCTATATTGTATTGTAAAAATTTGATAGTGACATGCATGAGTGCTTTATTCTTCTAGAAAGTTATAAACACTAATTCCTTTCATTTTTACATAATCAGTAGTAAATTATAGATCTGTACAAACAATAACTGCATAGAATGAAGACTTTATTCTTATTTAATACTAATATATTATAAAGAGTCTATGATAGATATACATAGACGCAAAGATATATCTTACTGATCAATCTCACAATCTATATTATTTATTTCAATATAACAAAGAAAACCGATTTAAATAATTAACAATTGAATGATGTCTAGTTTTATACTGTCCTATTATGTTCTATATTATGAATTTGTTTAAACCACAATTATCATTATTATCATTCCAATTATTTGAATGCGGTGACTAAACCTACGTTAAAGGATAGATTTACATTTGTAAATAACTAACAGATTATTCCAGACAAACCTAGAATTCTAGTCAACATAGAAAAAAATTTTTGGAAAATAAACATATACGAATGTTTATTTCTTTGTGAGGTAATCGACAATCGTATGCCTGTAAAACGGTGTAACCATATATATGTATATACCACACACATGCTTAGATTTTTAGGAATTAAGCATACACATATGAAATATATTACTGATGTTTTAGTCGTAATGCAAATAGACGATTTAATTTTTTCATTTTCTAATTTCCTAAATAGAATACACATTTAATTAAATCAAATTTTCCCCATAACACAATAAAACAAACAAATAAACAAATAGAATCATAAACAGATGTTTATCTTGTTTATTTTTCTTATTTAAATTAAAATGTTGTCGACATAGATTATTATTAGAAAATAACCATTGTGATTTGTATGTCATAAGAGATATTGTAGAGGTTGAAATGAAGATAATGATGAAATCATATTGAACTCAACCCTAACTACCGAATTAAGCAATATATGACTCAGTGTCTTATATATATATTAAAACGTGGATTACAAAGAGAGAGAGAGTTTTAAAACAATATGACCAGATAATACTAGTATTAAGTATATTAGGCAGAAAATATCAAAGATAATGTGTTAGACTGAGAAATATATATTTATTTGGAGGTAAAAGTGGATTAATATGAGACCATTAAGATGATTATCCGAAGGATCAGATACACTTCATATGGGTTCTACTAAGAAAGCCGTGATGCCTGACCGGACGCATTAAATTCGTAGTATTCATTGATACTCTGGATAATAAGGCTCTTAATGACTTATGAATACTTATATTTGGATATCTAAGTTTATTTTTCGTCAAACTACGAAAATGTTTATTCATCAGCGGTACGACTGATATAGCAAATCGTCTAAACACTTGTTTTCAGTATCAAGAAATATTCCATTCAGAAAAAGCTAAGATAAAAAATGTCCATAATCTAGAAGCAATGTAATCTAATTTCAAAATAAGTTTATCTTCGCATAGTTTCAATCATTTACCTAAAAATGCAAAGCTGCTATATAGAAAATGTGCTTCTCATGGTTTATATGATATTTACTACTCAACAATCGAAATAATTTAAGCATACATCAAATTCTCGAAAACAACGTTTGAATTGGTTTCAAAAAACAAGAAAAAGAGTCAATACATATGGCATTCAATGACTTACAGAATTTGTAAATGCTTTCAAACATTTAGCTGCACAAATTGATTCACTGATTAAATCCATAAAATCTCCATGACATAATAGAAAATTGATAATAAACAGAATAATATAATAATTTGTATGATACAATAATCGTATCATAGTTTATTAATAAAAATATAGTTTATAAAGTATCTATGTCATGTTATGTTTTATTACTCAATTTTATGAAAGGAATTCATTTATCTACATGGCATCAAGTTTGTTTTTGGGTGGGAAAAAACGGTTTAAATTGTTTGCTTTTTTTAGTTTTTATTCTGAGAAATTTAATGAAATAACTAGTTTTACGATTGATAAAATTTTCATAGAAATATACAGCACTTAACTAACAAAATACAACCAATCAACAACTTGTATGGCAAGGTCATATGCGCGTATGTTAATTGGTTAAAAAGCAATAATTTAATCAAAATATTGTTTAGAATATGATTGACCTCTGAAAATATAATAATCATTATTATTTTGTGAACACATGTATGACAGATGATAAATTAAATGGAAGAATCATTTTACTCATCAAAAGAATAGATAATTTTTACTTTGATGATTAAGGATAATTTGGAGGAAGAAAGAAATATTTTGAGCATATTATTTATGTGAATTCTTTGAAATTCTCTTTTATTTTTTTGTATTCTACATGTGACTAACTATTTCACTTGAGTTCGAGGAGCGATTCGGTAGTAAAAAGATTAGTTTTACCAAATATATATACAAAATGGTGGTTCTTCCTATTTCTTAAAGGAACTCATTGGCAGTGTCGAAAAATATGCTGATATTGAGAAACCTATCAATTTACAGTGGATTTCATAAAGGAACTCATCAATAGTGTCGAAAGTTATTTAGGTATAGAAATTCATATCTAGGGCTAAGCGAAATGTTGTGTTAAATGATGAGCTGTTGAACTTGCATGTATTTAAATCAAAAATATTGACACCAATCATGGACTTTCATGTTTCCAGATTTAAATGATTCTATCTAATCAATGTATTCCAATGTTTTTCATAGAAAAACCTCTATGACATACACAAACTTTTTTTATCAGATAACGCTATAAAATCTAATGTTTTCATCTAAGTTGTATGTCATGAATTCGATTTATCCTTGAATTAAGACATTTCAATAATCTTAATGTTTAAAAAAACAAATAACTAAAAATAATGAATATCATGATAGGGATAAACGAGTATGATGATCCATTGTATGATCTTATCTGTATATTAATGTATATTTTTATTGAAAATACATGTAACTATCGTAAAGGAGCATGAAGCATTTGCCATACAAACATAGTTCGAATCCATACCAAGTTTTATGTAGCTTTTATTTATCATTGGATATAGTGAAAAAATTCATTCTTATGTTGAATGAAACCTAAAGAGTATGATGTGGTAGAAATATAATTAGTTTGAATGGCTCGACCTAAAACGTTAAGTTACTACTTACTTACGCTTGTTGCACCTCGTGAAGGAGCATAGGCCGCTCACCAGCATTCTCCATCCAACCCTGTCCTGGGTAATCCTTTCCAAATCTTTCCAGTTATTATTCATCCTTTTCATATCTGCTTCTATTTTCCTCCCTCTTTTCCGCTTCCCTTCAGGATTTCCAAGATAGAGCTTGACTCGTGATACCGTTTGATGATTTGTGTAATGTATGTCCTATCCATTTCCAACGTCTTTTCCTAATTTCCTCTTCAGCTGGAAGCTGGTTTGTTCTCTCCCACAGAAGGCTGTTGCTGATGGTATCTGGGCAATGAATGTTGAGTATCTTCAGTAGAAAACTATTTATGAATAGTTGTACCTTCTTGATGGTGGTTGTTGTAGTTCTCCAAGTTTCAGCGCCGTACAGTAGAACTGTTTTGACGTTCGTATTGAAAATTCTGACTTTGATATTGGTTGACAGTTATTCTGAAGTTACTAACAAGAGTATAACTCAAAAGAGACTATCGAAACATCGTTTACAATTATTGTGTGAAGGATTTATTAAAGTACAGATAATTCTATCAATCAATAATCCCATTTTCAGTTTACCACAACATTGTGTTGTTTAACAATTGTATTTCATCTTTTTATATTAAATATAATAGTGTTTTATTCATTATTTGAGATTTTGAAAAACTTTTTCTCATTATCATTCATTTACATTCTAATTCAAGTGTGTTTGCTGAGAACATTTCCACGGTGAAATTGATGTAAACGCGTTTGTTCTGTATAGACGAACATGTATTGCTCATAAGGAAATACCATTCAATTAGACTAGACGATACTGTACATGGAGTATCATTATCTATATTACTGTTTATGATAAGATGTATTAGCATTAATACTAGATAGTTAAATCGGAAGGATCGTTTCCTAAACGGCAGTAAACGTATCCATATAAAGTTCGGTCAAATTTGACATGGAATAATCTTCGAACGTTTATTTTTGAAGATGTTCATAAGTCCATCGCTTGTATGGAAGTTTTACGAGAGTTTGTTTCAATAAATAGCCCAGATTCGTTTTACTAACGTGAAATTACCATTGTCATTAGATGTATATTATTACGATGTCTAATCATAGATGATAAGATGAGTTGAGAAAAGTAAATCAATCGGTCATATAAATACAAAGTGATCAAGTCACGGATATGATCATCAATTTGATGAGAAACACGTCGAGAACTGATATGCACAGTTTGATAAAAAACTGGAAATAAAAACGGCTGAATATGAATAAAGAAATTTGGCTTACTTTTCTGAAAATAAGATAGGAAAAATAATAGCTATCTGTTTTGTCTTCTGATACTAATCAACATATGCTTACCAGTGACTGGCTTCAAGATGTAGATCCTTGAGTTCTAGTGAGAAGTAGTGACCAATGGAGTTCAACCGAGTCTGTTGTGAGATAGTAACTCACTGATGACAATGGTGGGTATGTCACTCAATTTCGTGAATTAGTTGAAGTTAGAGATTAACACCGTTAGATGCCGGCTGGCTCAGTAGTCTAGTGGTTAAGCGCTCGCGTGAGAGACTGACAGGTTCTGGGTTTGAATCCCGTGAGCGGGACGGTGGATACGTATTGCTGAGAAGTCCCAAAATAGGATGAAATGGCAGTCCAGTGCTTATAGGCTTTCCATGGTGGTCTAACTTCAATTAACTTGTGACCTCAACTACTAAAATTACTACAATCTCCACACAACCATTTTCATTCTATGTAATATATATTGTTCTCCATTTGTTGAAATATACATAAATATGAACATGAAAATTTCCTAAAATTTGGTTTGAAAGACTGCGTATGATTACAAGACAAAAAACCACTTAAATTAATAAAAAATATACTAATCAGTGAATATGTGAAACATTATAATTTTGTAAGTAAATTTATAAACGATCCTATATATAAACGATTGAGTTATTATCGAGGATTTATGTGTGAAATCTAACATACATTCTCCTTATAAAGGCTTTAAACGACAGGCTTAAAATAACTATGCTCATTTCGACTGTCCTATTGATTGAGTACTAGGTAATTTTTCACATGAATTTTAGTTACCATATTAGGATTGTTCATGACTATATGATTGCTATTGTCCACATAATTTGAACATTTAAAATCAAACTGAACATAGGTTCACATTCAAACAATCATTCAAGATCGTCAAGTCCTGTGAAGCTTAAAACATCGAAAATTGATTGTAACCGAATCTACATAAGGGGAGATTAATGATCTTAGATAGGTTATAAATAGATGATGCAATTAAAAGTATGCTGGATAAAAGTATGGTGTACTAATGTGTTATACTTAACAAAATGTCTTAATGTATACCACTTAAATGGCTACCTGTATCTTAAGTACCATTAGAGCGTTACAGTTTCCTGTTTATCACTCAATGTAACAAATAACTTAAAAATAATGAAAAAAATTTCTTGATGTTAATAGACAAAATTAATTCAAACCTCCCTGATTAGATGTAAATTTCATAGTTTCATGAAATGTATTACATTGAAACTAAGACATGTAATAAAAATGCACTTTATTAGATTCAAATCGAATAATAAATTTAGCAAATTAAATACATAACTTAAAATGGTCTAGACAAAACATTATACCTAGAATGAATCCAGTTTTAAATAAAGATTGTATCTTGTTAAACAGAACTGAATATATTGTATGTTTGAATCATTCAAAATTGATGTATGCTTATCATTCACAATAGTTAGATCCATCATTATGAACCTGGTAATAAAAATCAAATCAAGTTTCCATTTTTTAACATTTCTTTACCATACTTCTACGACTATGATAATACAAACACATTGAAATCAGTATTTTTAAAAAATTAACTCAACCGGATCTAATATATATATATATATATATATATATAAATATATATATATATATATATATATATAAATTTAGTATAAACAAGTGATGCAGAAAGGTTTAATTGGTTAAGTTGAACACTGAGATTAATATGAGGAATACGTTTCAATAAACTGTCCCTCGTTTAAATCAACTATCTAACTAATCATTTTTATTGAACTCATGAGTCCATTGAAGCTACACCACCATGGAAAACCTGGAAGCACTGGACGGCCGTTTCGTCCTAGTATGGGATTACTCAGCAGTGCACATCCGCAATCTCGCACCCCATGAGATTCGAAACAAGGACGTATCAGTCTCGCGCCAGGCGCTTAACCAACTAGATTACTGAGCCGGCATTCAATGGCGTTAATGTCTAAGCTCAATCAATCCACGAAGTTGCGCGACCATCTTCCATTTTACTGAGGTAGACACCTGTTTCTACCCGACACGGATTAAATCCACTGGTCAAGGCGAAACGGCCGTGTAGTGCTTCCAGGTTTTCCATGATAGTCTAGCTTCAATTGATTCATGATTTCAATTAAAAACTTAACAATCTCCACAACCCCTAAACTGATAATCATTTTTAGTCACTAATCCTTTTTTGGTATCAGTAAGTGTTCATTTTACATTGAAACGTAACCTATGAAATTGAATACATATAGATTTGGAAAATATATAATGTATATTAATACAAATGTACTCACATAAATCCATATGTATACAAGCACATGAATGCATTGAGGAATACATGTCTACAAATACATACATACATACATACAAACAAGCATACATACATACGTACGTATATACA